ATTTTTGATTGGAAATTTTTTCCCAAAATTCGTCGTCGTGGCGCAGTAAGTTGCGGGATTAGGTGTCCTGCACTGTAATGAAAAAAAATAATCTTTTCTACTTTCTCATCTGAATTAACTATTGCATTATTCTCCATTTCATTATGAATTTTAAATACAAAATTCCTTCTTTCTTGTGATAAAGATGATAATAATTGAGTATGTGACATTATATAAAAATATAAAATTCGACTTGGTGTTTTAATGAATAACTATATAATTATTTGAATGACGTGTAACAAACAAATTTTTCGTACAACATTTTTTTGATTGCCTCAAATTGCATTGTTTAAAGAACAACATCATCATCACCAACTCTAGTATCTATTTATCGTGATTCAACAATAAAGAAATTCTTTGAAGATTTAAAAGTGATAAAAATAGAAAATTTATCAATCTATATTGCTTCAAACTCGGACACCAAAGACAACTCAATCACATTATTAATATTATTGCGTATTATTATTACGCGTAGTTAACTTCAAAGTCAACAATTCGAAAAAACATCAATTTAACACAACTCATATATATGTAGAGACAATTTGATTTTTACATTTTATAAATGTAATAATAAAGAATGTTTTAATTGTAAAAAGAAGACATTTTTATTTTGAAAGAAAATATATGGAAAGTAAAATTTCTAATTCAATTTACAACATTTGTAAACTTCCCATGATAATTATTCTTCTTGTATCATTGCAATATACATACAGTGATATAATAATTATTTATTCATCCCCGGGACACACATTTTTAAAAACTAAAATTTTCGTCAATACATCATTGCTCTACTCTCAAGCAAGGCTCCGAGTTATTAATGTGGAATTATTTAATTACCCGATTGATTAATTAATTAAAGATTGATCGATAAAAAAATTTCTTTAAAAACACGAATACAAAAGACTATTACTTTATTAAATATAAATAAACAAATAATTCGAATTAATATTAATATTAATACTAATTGTATATCATAAACTGGATTTTGATAAACCCGAACCTATTTTTGTATTTCAACAGAATATTTGTTATAATAGCTTAAAAGGTGCTTTGATGGAAATCTAATCTTTTTCCAATCCTTCATATATTACTACACGGCAAAAATCACAATGATAAATCAAAAATAGCTAGCGCATAGAAAAATTGGTTGGATGGTGATGACACAATATTAGAAATCATAGTCAATAACGTCATTCAAAAAGGTATCACATACATATGTATCTATTCAAGAAAAGTTGACACTGCAATTACTTTTACATATAACAAACACTTGCTATTTCTTTTAATTGGCGAAACTAAATTACCTTTTGCACGTACTAAAGGATTACATGAAAAGCTAATAAGTGAATTAAATGGTACAACAAACGATTCTTGTTTTATATGTGTTAGGTAC